GGTCCAGCCTGTTTAGATGACCAAAGCTCGTCCTTGTCCTACTTTCGGGTCAGAAGCGCACCAATAGAGCCAAAAACTCTTAAGTCTTTAAGCAAAGCTGCACAGCAGGATGGACTCTGCATATTTCTGGGTGAGTGCTTTTGAAGTTTTATTAAAGGACTATCATAATGGAGGTTTGTCTACACCAGCTGAATTGCTTTCAGCATCCGAGCTCGTCCGCAGGGAGAGGTTTTTCTCTTTGCTTCTTGTAGCATGATATATTTTTAACAGCATGTGCATGTGTAAGTATGTGTGCCTGTGCGTAAGAGTGGGTGTTTTATATGGGAAAGAAAAGCCTTGCTGGTTGGAGATATACACTTTCTCCTCCTTTACATAATCCTCATCAGTGTTATGTAATTTTCCACGGACAAATTTTTTGGTAAGTTAAAACATAAAGTGTACACAATGCACCTCAAGGAAAAAAAAACAGTTTTGTAAACGAATACGTGAAGTCAAAACTGTTTGCATACTTCCCAGCACAATTGTCTAATCTCGTATAGAGGTCAGCCACGTTAGATCATGTGAGTATACCTATTCTCTGTCTCATAGCACAGGCTCAAAAACCGCCCCTGTTATTGCTGGGCTATTATGTAACCTCTGAATATATTAATTTTTATCGCCTTTGCAAAACCATGATCACCTTTTGAGTTTATAACTGAAATATTTTGTTTGCTAATTCAGTTCTGAAAAACAGTCAAGACGTTCTGCTTCACAGATTTTTATTAAAGTTTTTTCTCATTTTACGAACAAAACATGAGTAAAGAGACGCACCAATCATTTGTTCAGCAAACAAAATTGACTGATTTTACCTCCATCAGCTATTATGGGTGATTGGCAGTTCAACACCTCAAAAAGCTGAGGTAAAAAGTTAAATTTTATTCATTAAAACCCAAGCTGTCTTCTCTTTTGTACAAATCAGAAGTCTGTTTTCTAAAAAAATAAGTGTTTTTAGTTTGTTTTTATTCCGATGGTCTGTAAGTATGTATCCCCCTTGAATCTTTGGGGTATTTTTACTCCTGTTACTTCCCCAAACTTTACTGTATCTTGTTTGGATTTTATGTAAAAACATGTTGTGGGAATATGATACATTAATTTCATATTTTTCTTCCCAATAAAAATCTGCGTTCATTCCCGCTGAGTCAATGCTTTTTGAAACCATAGAACTTGGTCACAAGTTCTTCACAATCTGAAACAAAAACTAAGTCATGTCAGGTGGAGAGCAACTGAAGATCAATTTTCAAGTTTTGCGACAGATTCTCAAATAAATGTACGTCATTGACTTTAAGGAAAAGATCCTATGCTCCAGTTTAAAGCCGTTTGCATTTCTATTATTGATTTGTATTTTTACATTGCTCCAGTTTATCAATCAGCTTTAATTTTGTCAACCTTGAGCAGTGGTTCACTAACACTCCACCAGAGTTACCAGGAATTGTCTGACTTTTTGCTCTCTTTTCCCTTCCTCTCTGTTTAAGGAAGAAGTCTTTAAGTTTACAGTTGTGCTAATATTGCAATAATTTCTGATGCTTGTCTGATGTGTTCCCTTGTCTTCATGATGCTGTTTGTTTACTCTAACAAATCTCTGAAACCTTCAGAGAACAACTCTTTATACTGAGATTAGTGGTGGACTTTATCATTTACAGGACTTTTTACCTGAATTAATTAATTGCTCTAGAGAGGGAGTGAATACAAATGAATATTTATATTTATTATTTTATTCTTCCACTGTACAACTATGGACTACACTGCAATGAAACTGCAGTAAAGCATAATATTTTAATATGGGATAAAATCTGAAAAGCTCAAGGGTAGTGAATATTTTTTTCACATTTAAACTGTACTTAATGATAAGTGCATGAAAGGCCAAGAACTATGACTCATTAAATCTTGGGTCTTGTAGTCTGAGGGCTGTCTTGTAGGGTCTGATGGTGTAGCTCCTTTGAGACCTTTAGATTTGAATGTTCGCTGTCATTCATTTTGTATTTTTATTAAAATGCCAAGCTGAAACGGTTCAATCTTTTATTTTAAATCTAAATAAAACTCTTCTCACCTCATGAACTGTCTGTGCATGTGGATCTTTCAGGATCTAAAAAAAGGCAGTGATAAATATTACATGTGGGGGAGTGTGGAGGTCGAGGCACGAAGTGCTTCTTGAGTTGTGGAGGGGGATTTTGTCCTTGTGGCGGACAGTGTCAGGAATGCAGTCGCCATTGGGGGGAGTGCGTGGTCTGCCACAGTGTTTAGGTGGGCGGCATGTGTCACAGCAATCTCCACATGGAGGCCAGGACACTGTGTTTTCTGGCAAAATGTTACAGTTTGATGTGAATCTATAATAAACTTCACCTGTCAGAGGATTTTATTGTTGCCGCTGATCAGTATGAGAACATATATGTGCATTTCACGTGTAATAATGGAGGCTGACAGAGCTCCCTGCTGGGAAAATGAAACACTAGTGTAATCTCTCAGTGAGTTTTCTTGTTCTTGATAATTTCATAATTTAAAATGTACCAAAACGTTTCCATCAAACATCACTGAGAAAGGAAAAGATGTCACACTTGTAAGGTTTTAAATACATAATTGATAAAGTCGTCACAAGACATTAAAGCCTGGTGGGAATTATTAAATGTTATATGATGACAGTATGAGATATTACTTTACCTCTGCTGGAATCTCTGCTGGCTCTCTCAATAAAACTGAGTCACATTAGACAAGCTGATCAGATGGTTTAGATAAGATTTAGATACACTGTAACTTTTCTGTAAAATTATACAAACCATATTTAGACCTATAGAACATTTCAGGTTCAGTTTTATCTGCTTCTGCTGTTTTGTTGTTAATGGTTATTTAGTTCAAATTAAATCTGCCTTCAAACAGATAGACTTCCATAAATAGATTCCACTAGTTGTGTCACATCAAGCGTCAGACAACTGATCACAGTCCTTTTGAGCAAGTTCATTTCTTTTATTTTGCTTGGTTTTTTTTGGTTCATTGTTATAATAATGTAGCAAAACGTCTGCATAGATGATAAGAACATGTAATGACAATAAAGACACTTTATCGCTAATTTGTTAAAAAAAAAAAACATGATTTGTATCATACAGATTTCTTAAAAGGATCAAGTAGAACTTTTAAAGTTTCCTTAATTTCAAAAGTAGAAAAAAATATATAATTTTGGTCCAACAAACATTGAGCCTAAAATTATACTATCATGTTATTTATTAAGTCTCTTTTCAATTGTCCTCACACTTTTTTCAAACAACAAATAAAAATAACAATATTAACAATAGAAATAATTGGGACTAAATTTAAAGGCAATTCAATTGGCCTTTTTTGAATAATTTGGACAATTATTGTTACATCAGAATCTAAAATACTACAAAATTGATTTGAATACTTTTAAATTAAACTATTAAGATGTACAAAAAGTACTATATTTGTCTTTTTGTTACAAGAACCATCTTGCATAAAAGGCAGCACAAACCCCGTTGGTTTAGGTTTTTCAAATATATTTTACATTTATAACAAATTTCTTTAAAATAAGGTGTCATTTGAAGACAAATCACACCTTATCATTAGTTTTGTCAAAGTAGGATAAAAAACTCTTTTATTGTACCCAATCTGCTGCATCACCTGGTGATCTCTGATACCATCTATGATGAAAATGTTCATGAGATATGATAGATTTGAGCGTTTTAGGTATAGTATTTGATATTTTGTAGTATTTCTTCATGCCTTTTCTACCTTTCTGAGGAAGTCTTTTAAAATTAAACTGTCAAAGACCTTTTCCAATACGCTACTTGAAACTGCACATAAACTAAGACAGCTAAATGTAACTTTTTGTGACCATCATTATCTTTAAGATTGCATATTGATGAATACTGGCCGTCCACGGCCAGTATTCATCAAGGCATGATGGAAACTCGATTCTCCAATCCAGTTTGAATGCTTCAAAATGTATACTGAAATCTTTGAAAAGTTGCATATCCCACTTCATATATACTAATTACATTGACATTTTTGGATTTTTGTGGTGTCATTTGTTCAAAAATCACACAAAGGAGGATTATCACTGCAGAGCTTTTTAAAGGCTACCTAAAACAGTGAAACAGGAAGTAACTTTGATTCCTTTGCTATCCTCTTTCACACATTTGTAAAAGTAAGCCTCTAAGTATTTTGGTAACAGTGGCCATCTGCAGGATCTGGCCATCTGTGGATGCCGGTGTGTTTGTATTACACTGTTCATTTTCGATCAAAGCCTCTACTATTCGCCCTGGGGGATCGAATGTGTGGTCATCATTTAAAATTGCTTTTTTGCTGCACCATTGCTCCGGCGCTGTCGGGAGCTGGAAAGTGGGGACGAGGATGGGTGATGTCCAATTATAGATCTGATGATGTAAAGACACGAGAGCACATGTCTCCCCCCCTCTTTTTTTTTTGCTCTTCCCAGAGTGGTACAGTCCGCAGTCTTAAAGGCAGAGCGGTGCAAGAAGAGTGCTTTAACTTTTCCACTATTTTCATAAAACTTTGGAAAATAGTTATCATGTTGACAGAAATTACAAAAACTGAAACGATTCAGAGCCTAAGTAGTTTGTGGAAGTCACATTAATATGGATAGTTAGATCTAGATGATGGTACCAATCTAACAATTATCGGAATGCAATTTTCAGTGATTTTACACTTGATTGTTTTTTTTTTTTTATTTTACGGACGAATGGATGCAAACACCTACACAGAAGCACAGTCACATGTGACAGTCTGAGGCAAGCACATTGCAGCATTGCTAAGGCAACAGCTGCAGAGTGCTCCAACAAGCAGATAAACCTCGGTGTGCTCTGCCTCTCGTCTTCGTCTGGTTAATACAAACTCAGGTTTCAGGGGTATTTGCTCCTGTCTGAGATGCTCTCGCGGTGCTTCATGTCTTTTTCTGTGATGCATATGTAATTCACACTCTCCTTCTCAACACATTTGCTTTCGGTCTAATTCCTTCTGTCTTCACATGCACACACTCGCATGCGCTCACCCACTCTCCTTCTTCACCGTCCCCCTCCCTCGTTTTTTTTCCTCTCCATCCTCTGCTGCTTTGCTCTTCTGTTGTCTGTTTTCTCTGTTTCCTCCCTTTCCACACTGTGACTCCCCAAACCCCGTCTTTTCTTTTTGGTTGTTGTCGTCGCTAATCCCACCACCTCTTCTTTCCATCTCCATCCTCTCTTCTTTCTTTTTGTTTTCCCTCTTTTTCCACCACCTGTCCTTTTGGATATTGGATACACGCCTCACCTTCCCATCTCTCTCCATTCTTTCTTCCCTTTCCTGCTAAATTCCAAAGACCACCCTCTCTCCTCTCCCTCTTCTCTCTTTTCATTGCTCTCTCTCTATTTCCCTGTGGCCCTCCCCCTCCCTTTTCATGTTTCCCCCCTCCCTCCATCCTCTCTTTCCCTCGCTGGTTCAGTTAGTCAAAGAAGAGATTCACGGAAGGAGAGAAAAGGGGGGAAAGGCAGGACGAGAGTGAGAGCGCAGGAGTGGGGCAGGCTGGGGAGAGGGGCGTGGGGTCTCAGCCCTCTGTCGTGGGGGGTTGGGAGGGTTGAGATACACCCCAATATTTTGTTCTAAGTACCATGGACTGCCTCTGCATTGTGACTACAAAGGTAAGCTTATCTGTTGTCTCCTACACAAGCTCGTGCTCTGTGTGAGTGAAAGAGAGTGAGAGGTGCCACAACTGGAAAAAATAAATGATTACTGAGGTATGTCATCTGCATAAATAGATATTCCATCTTGGAAATTGTTTCAGTCTTTGGTTTCTGTTTCGGGATTTGGAGATTTCAGAGAGGCACTGGATGAGCTGAGGTAACTGAGAGGTGTGTGGACTGGATATTCTTTGATTTCTCCCTCTCTGCATGACACTCTCTCCCACTCTCACTGCATCTCCTACTCGGTGTCATGCTTTAGGAGTTCGTACACCGGGGCTGGCTGACCTGCGTGGATGTTTTAAGGGCAGAGAGAGCCCGTGCTTTGCAGTGGCTTTGTGAAGCCAGGGCTGCAGGATGTGTCGGGAGGAGAGCCTGGGTGGGAATTCTGCATTCCGTCCCGATATTCGCACCGCTTTCTATTAATCCGGAAAGCTAGAGCTAACGCACGCCGCACTTTTTGTACCGCGCCAAATAAGTCATGTGTTATATTAGACAACTGCTCAGCATCTTCAGTCCTGTGGTCTACCGCATTGACTAATAAGAGAAAATAGTGCGGCTCTGATGCAGTGTGACACCTGACACTCAGAGGGGTCAGACGGTGTTCAGAGAGCTACAGTCTCAACTGGGTTCACACTTACATCTGAACTGATTCAACAGCGAGTGAGCAATACGCCGTAGCACCTGCACCTGAGCGCCGGATCCAGCAGGAAGTGATGACAAAAAGTCGGAAACACAAATAAAAATGCATAGAGGCTCTCACAGCTGTGTGAAGGCGGTGATCATCAAAGACGCTTTTTTTTTTTTTTGCTTTCATGCATTTGTGCTTATTTGGTATTGGTAGCACAGACGTGAGTGCAGCTGGTGCTTTCGGACGTATTACATAAATTTGTGCTTAACTGTGGTACACTCATTTGCTTATCAACGTCTCTGTTTCCGTGGCAACAGAGAATATTGGTCAGTTAAACTTAGATAAGGAGGTGCAGTCAGATGAGGTGGCAGACATACTGTACAGTTTTAAAGAAGTACACACAGTGCCTTGCAAATGGATGCATAACCCTTGATGCTTCTTCACATTTTGTCACACTAAAACTAAAAGAGGTATTTTACTGGGTTTCTATGCAATAGGCCAACACAAAGCAGAGCAGAAATGTGAGGTGGAGAGGATTAGGATTGGCATAATTCTCCTGCACTTTTTAAAAACAAAAATCTGAAAATACCCTAAATTTGAACTGAAGATGAATCAGCCAACTTCAAGAGTCAGCTGATTAGTAAATACAGACATAAGCCCTGTGGAAGAAATTAATGTTCTCTTTTTTTGGCCCACATATTAAACACTATGGCCCTGAAGTAAAGCATGGTGGAGGGAGCATCAGTCTGTGGGAATGCTTTTCATCAGATGGATAACAAAGATAGAGCTAAATATAGAGTAATTCTGGAAGAAAACCTGCTAGTAGCGGCAAAAGACTTGAAACACAAGTTTGGTCTCAGAGTACACACCTGGATTTTATTTTAAGGACATCAGAATAAATAGCACTTGAAATAAATGCACACCACACTTTTCAGATTTTTACTCTATCAACATTCTTTTCTCTTTAAACGTATGCACTCCTCTGTTTCACATGAAATTTCAATAACATTTATTGCTATGTAGTACTAACATAATAGGTCGTGAAAAAGTTGCTTTATATGATATTCTGAAGATTAATTCAGATCTTTTTCCTGCTGAAACAACTTTCACATTGAGAACCATGCATTCTGTTAACCACTTATGATAACCCTGTGTTGTTACATAACAGTCCAGTATGATAAAGAAAAGCATAGTACGGAAGGTTTTAGGTTTTTCTTGAGAGTTAGTCATTTATTTAGATAGGAAAAGGCAGACAAAGAAAAAACCCCAATAACAACTGTGAGTTAAAGACCACAGTTGGTGGCAGTGGATATTTCACCAAAACCGTTCCAGAATCCTGCATCGCTATCAAAGTGAGAAAAGACTTACTGTAAAGCTGGCAAAGAGGAGTAGGCTTTTGCCAAGAACTTGTGAGACAGATGGTCAGTTTATAATAGAGCAAGTTAGCACACAAAAGTATGTTAAGGAACGCGTTGACTGATCTTCAAACTAGCCCTTTGTTAAGATATAGAAATGACAGGCTTCATTTTTCACAGAACTCTAAGTACTATGAACAATTAACTGTGTGGAATTAAACAAACATTACTTTTAAAAGGTTTAAAAGGCTAGTTGAGATTTAGATACATGTATGCCAAAGTTGAATGAATTCAAATTCACAAATTATTTATTATACAGCTTTAAATGTGACCTATTAAAATTTAATAAATGCCGGCTGCATTGCAGGTAAGGACTGTGGCTTGCCATCATGTAGCAGCTGATGGGTAAGCAGCTCCCCGAGTGAGCTGTTCCCTGACACCCACATACTGTATAACAGGTTATGTGAACAATGTTGCTTCCCCTGCGAAGGTCTGTGCACAAAGTTTTACTGTGTGGGTGAAGGCACAATGAGCCAGTGAGTGACAAATGAATTAAAGCACTATTGAACAAATCAGTGACTTTTGTAATAAATTGAAGCAAGTCTGTGGCCTTCTTTAGCCATCTTTAAATTATGAGTATTCAGTTTGGTTTATTTATATAGTGCCAATTCACAACATAAGTACTAAGGCACTTTATAAAAAATAATTTCAATTTAATCATAAATACATTCCAATTGATCCTACTTATCAAACAGCACAGTAAGATAAGCTTATTATTCAAATTAGTTTAAAAAGTTTCTGTTAAAGGAAACCCAGTAGACTGCATGAAGTCATTGACTTAAAAATAATCCTTCATCAGTTCTTCTGTTTTTTGTGTGTGTGTATGTGTGTATGCTCCATCTTCTCAAACCAGTCGGTCGTGGCAGATGGCCGTTCCTAACAGGCCGGGTTCTGGTTGAGGTTTCTTCCTGTTAAAGGGGAGTTTTTCCTCTCCACTGTTGCTACATGCATGCTCATACCAAGCACTCACTAGACAAGTGTTCCATATTTTAGCCTAAATTTTCCTTTGCACAAAGTTATGAGCATAATAAAATGACTGAATAATATATATTTAAGTAAATAAATAGTTGCTTTTCACCTAAAAAGGTAGAACTGCAGAAGCTGGTCCCTCCTTTTCATCTGTCTGCATTTGGAATGTAAGCTAAAAAAAAAAAAAAAAAAAAAAAAACAACTGAACCTCCTAAAAGGCTTTAAAAATAGTGCATTTGTTGCTTGTCTGGCAGTGATGTTCATATAAAACTGAGTGATAGTTCCCCATCTGGGCACCCTTATGTCATGGGGCAGCAACAGTGCTGCAAAATATAGAAAACTTTCTTTCGGTTGTGGCCTAATTTTCCAACATATGATTTGTATGTCTTGTTATAGTGGATTGGAGGTAGTTACAAACACAAAACCTACTCACCATTGTTGGAGTCCACATTCAATCCAGTATCAATAGGCGATGCACTATTTGCACAGAGGACTAGTGTGTATCAAAGGCACCATCCAGGATGAAATATCCAAGCTCCAAGAATACATCAGGAAAATGGTCCAGATAGATGAAACACTCAGTCAATGTCTCAGACAATGGATTAAAAATAATCCAATAGCTAGAAAGGGCTGGGCAGAAGGACAACACAGAAGCACTGACAATAGCAGCAGAGGAGCAGACCTTAAGCACCAGAGATGAAGGCAATTCCATGTTTATCAGTGCACTCTGTATAATCCCTACTCTGGAGAAGTCTCTCCAACCGATACCTGGAGAAATATCTGACATCTCAGTCCAGAGCGCAGTTGTCTGCATCTCAGACAACAGATACAGTATCTTTGCCATTCCTACGAACAGCTAAGATACTGTGATGAACCCTCACAATTCAGGTCCTCTCTTGTAGAGAGGACCTCAACTTGAGATGAAGAGCCACCCGGGGGATGGGTGAGAGAGTCGTTTATGTGTACACACACACATGCATACGATTGTACGCATACATCATGTATATATATAATATATTCCATTGGTGTCACTGACACCTTAAACATGAAGACAATGATTCTGTTGAGATCCTTTTTTTTGTGCTTTTTTATGTAATTTTCCACTCCTTCCTACACTAAAAAAGTCTTTGACAAAAAAAACCAATAAACTGCAAAATATTATACCAGTGACTCGCAGAGGAGTGATATTACATAACACTTAGAACAGGAATATTAGGGCATATCAGCTTTGAAAAGACGTCACAGGATTTATATTTGGTTGCGAGCTTGACGGTATCTTTAACTTTCTTTCCCCGTTTGGCAATGAGTCAGAGACGGATGGGTTTGTGTTTCGGAGGACAGAACAAGTAAAGCGCACAAAATCTGATCCCATCTCTGTTTTCTAAAAACATTCAACAGAAAAATTTGTTTGTGTGAGAACAAGGCTATGGAGCTCATTTTTACACCATTTACATTTTTCAGCCCTGTTTAGTTTTTTTCTCTTTCATTATCACTCCTCTTCTTGTTGCCACCTTCATTCCACTCCTCGGCTCTCACATTTCCAATTCTTGCAAAAAAAATATATTTGTCCTCTCTGCCTCCTTCACCTGCTTAATCCCTCACTCTGTCGTCTCTTCCAGACTCTTCCTTCCTTTATCTCATTTTACCTATTTTTTCCTTCTCATTCTTTCTCCCTTCTTTCCACTCAATACTTACCGTCTGCCCTCCTCTTCAGCACTTTCCAGCCTACTCCAGTTAGTGCTTCTTCTTATAAATTATACATTCACCAAGATGTATTCAAAGTCAGCAGCCTTTGCACATCTTGCAGGCTACATTCTCTTTCCTTGAGTGGATTTTGGCCCATTGCATTTGTTTTTATCTTCGGTTGCCAGTAGACTAATACGAATATTTATTTCTCCAGAATATGTTATTGTGTGCATATGAGGGTGGGAAAGCTTATGGCTGCT